CTAGCTAGCTAGCTAGCTAGCTAGCCAGCTCACTCTGGCTGCCTGAGCGAGTCTGGCCTCGTTTCTGGGGATTGTGGCCCAGACGCCCAAACGCCTGGCGACTTCCACGTTGTACTCCGAACAAGAACGAATAATGTAAAACTCAGTCCCCGCGTCCTCAGCTGCAGCAGCAGCAGCAGCAGCAGCAGCAGCAGCAGTGCAGCAGCAGCAGCAGGGCGGCGGCAGCAGGGCGGCAGCGGCACGAGCGCGAAACGGCGGTAGTGCAGCAGCGGCAGGAGCGCAGCAGCACGAGGGAAGCAGCAGCAGCAGCCGCAGCAGTGCAGCAGCAGGGCAGTACAAGCACGAAGCCGTACAGCAGCAGCAGCAGCAGCAGCAGCAGCAGCAGTTTAGTCTGTATTTACCTAACAAGAAGCTGGCAGACAGACACAGGCGGCAGAAGTCGAAGCAAAAAGAAAAAGAGGCCTACCCGGGTGAGACGCATAAAAGGGTTGCTGCTGCTGCTGCTGTTGCTGCTGCTGCTGCTGCTGCTCGGTAAAGGGGATCTGGTCTTCATAACCCACGCCTCCTGGGGGGGGGCCCCCAACTGGGGGGCCCCCCACTGCAGGGGGCCCCTCCATGTTCTTGCTGCAGATCTGCAGAGGTATTGATGGGCTCAAATTTGTTAGGGCAGCGCAGCAGCAGCTGCAGCAGCAGCAGCAGGTGGGGAGCAGCACACAACAGGCAGCGGCAGATGCAGGGCAGCAGCAGCAGCAGCAGCAGGAGCTGCTGCTGTCTGGGAGGAGAGAGAGCAACGGGCGCTGCCTGTAGGGAACTGCTGCTGCTGCAGTGAGACAGATGCGGCAGCCCAAAAAGCTGCTGCCAGCTTCGCTGCTGCTGCTGAGAAGACAAAGATGTAAAATAAAAGGGAAATAAGGTGGAAAGAATTAAAAAAGATAAGTGCATGCAGCAGCAGCAGCAGCAGCAGAAGGGGTTCAGTGGGGCCGGGGCTGGAGCCGCCTGTGCTTCAGCGTTTCCTTGGGGGATTGTTCCGGCATTAAATAATTTCCTAAACTTCTCAATTTGGGTTTGTTTTACTTTCTTTTTGCATTTTACCTTTATTCTCAGCTGTATTCCTCTTCGAGAGGCGAACAGTGGCCCGTATTCCGCGTTGCGTTCCGCGCGATCGCGAGTAGCGGCGGAGGCAGCAGCAGCTGGCGGCTGGGGGCCTTTGGCTTCTCTTTCCTCAGCCACGAAGAAAAGAATAACAAAACTGAATTCATTTAGCATTTCCAGCTGAAATCCGCAAAAAAAGAAGTGGAGTCGATGGCCAGGTGAGTGAGGCGGGGGCGGGAGCCGCCATCTCGCGCGGTGTACGTACACCTCGCGAACGCAGACTTTGTTTCCAACAACTAGCCTGCCAAATATATCTTCACTTTTGTTTTTAAAAGCTGCATTTTGTCTTTTTTTCTAATTTCGCGCTGCACTCTCCAGCGGACCCGGTCTCAGTCAGTGAGCAACCGTGATCTGCTCCCCCGTCTTTCAATCAGTGAATTCGAAGGTCTTTTCTTCCTTTTTTGTTTTTTCTTAACTTGAGAGGTGCAGCAGCAGCATATGGTTTGCTGCTGCTGCTGCTGCATGGGGTCTCGGCTGTCTTTGTTGGCGGTTTCCGTGTTGCGGTGTATGTACACTGGGCTAGCGCAGGCAGCAGCGAAGAGGCAACTTCCCGTGGTGTCTTTTGCTGCTGCTGCAGCAGCAGCAAAAACAGAGGCGTTTGAGCGCAACTAGACCAGCACCTCTAGCGCACTCCTGTTCCCAGGCTGAGGCGCACTGCTGCTGCTGCTGCTGCTGCTGCTGCTGCTGCTGCTTTCATCCTAGAAACACCGCAGCTGCTTTTTGCTTCCACAGCTCGCTTAGTTCACTTTTGCTGCTGAGATTATGCATCTTCAAGCCAGTACCCTTTCTCCATGTTGGGGCAGACGGGCCGGAGGCTGCTGCTGCTGCAGCAGCAGCAGCT